TAGTAGGCTAAGTAATTATAATAATACTTAGTAACGTTCTTTTTTATACTCTTCTAGGTATATTAATGTTAGAGCTTTTCTAATATACGTCTTACTTTAAAATATTCTACTAGTAGGTTATTATAGTACTCTATAAGTACCTTTAACTTACTTTCTATATTAGTAAGCTTCTAGAGGTAACTATAATCTATAATAGATTCTAATAGGTCTATCTATTCTATATCTAAGTCTAATTCTTCTAAGAAGAATTTACTAGCCTTATTAGAGGTATTCTAATCTTCTATAGACTCTTACTCTCTTAGTTTAGTTTAATTAACTTACTTAAACTTATTAAGCGCTTTACTTAATTTATTTAGTAGTTCTAATCTAGAACTAGACTTTATTAGCGCAGCTATAGCTAAGAAGATCTTCTTACTCTTATTAAGAATAATATCTCTTATAAGCTATATAAAGGCTTTATTATACTTCTAAGCTAGCTTCTATAACTTAGCTATATAATTAAAGTAGTATAATAGGCTATCTACTAGATTAGTGCTTCTAGAATAATAAATTAAGTTAAAATTATATTGCGTAAGTACTAGGTAAGACTAAACTTAATAATAGTTAAGAGCCTTAGTTTCTATAAACTACTTAAGGTTTATATAATTAGTAAAGATCTTAAAATAGATACTCTTAAGGTAATATTACTAATATTCTAAACTTTTAATAATAGCTAATAGTTCTTAGTTATATATATTATAATTATACTCTGCTATAATAAGCTTACGTAAATAGAAGTTAACTAGATACTAGTTATCTAGCTTAGGTAATTCTATAATATATTAGCTTAGAATACCTAATATTACACTTCTAGATATATTAACTTTAACCTTTGTCTTATAATCTCTTTTAAAGTAAGCTAAAATTAGTTTCTTTAAAAAAGAGTTCTTAAGCTTATAGAAAGCCTTTCTAGTAGCTTTACTAATATCTAGAGACTAGCTCTTTTCTCTCTATATAGCGTAGCTACCTCTAGCTACACCTAGGCTTTTCTATATTAAAATAGTTAATAGTAGAGCTAATTTAGAAAAACTAGTAATAAATTAGTAATAGTAGTTTATAAAGCTAATAAATACCTAAATATTATAAACTATACGTAGCTTAGGCTAATTCTAGATAGTCTTAATATAGTCTTAGTTAATCTTAATTCTATTAAGTATAATAATATAACTAAGGTACTTAGTACGTTAAGTATACTACTTATACTTACTAAGCTTTAAATAAAGCTTAGCCTTGCGCAGTTTCTATAAGACTTTCTTAATATATACTTTATATTCTTTAAGAGTATTTAAGAAAATAAAAATATTATTTAGATAGATAATATATAATATATTAATTAGACTAATAAAAGTCTAGTTAATATATACCTAAAACTAGGTAGGTATATTTATAAAGCTAAAAGGCATTATAGTATACTTAAAATAACTATATTAGGTATAAAATATAGTTTTCTACTTATCTTCTTTCTAAATATAAATTCTATAGTAAGCTTCTTATATATCTAGCTTAGTATAGTACTTAGCTTACGCTAAGTAGTCTAAAGACTCTATAATTAGAGGTAGTAAGTGTCTATTCTTAATTATAATCTTATTTAAGCTATAATAGTTAATATATAGTTTTATAGAGCTATTCTTCTTTTTAATAAAGAGAATAGGTACGCTAGCTAGTAACTTTAAGCGTCTTATCTACTCTTATACTATATACTCTTCTAGGTACTTTCTAAAAAGCTCTAACTTAGTTTAAGAAAGATTATATAATAGTATATATAGTAGATTTATTCTAGGTTCTAAGTTTAGAGCTAGGTCTTATAGGCTATACTTAGTAATAATTACTAAGTTCTTCTTAGAACAAATATTAATAAACTCTATATATAGTAGAGGTATATTACTTATTTAAGCTAAGAATAGGTTATTCTAACCTACTATATCTACTAAATAGGTATACACGTCTACACTAAGATTATATATACTCTTTTTAAATAATTAGATATCTTCTACTATAATCTTTTAAAAAGAGCTAACCTCTTTAGTCTTATTATCTCTAAAGAGTATACGCTATAAAGTATAGTTTAACCTAAAGTTATAGTAATTAATCTATAGTAATTCTAAATATATAGTATATCTATTTAGGTTAGACACTATAAATAGAATACACTACGTCTTTACGTAGTCTTATAAATTAGTAATAGTAATATCTACTTTAGTTATTCTATAGATAGTAAGCTTTCTACTATTAACCTTTTCTATAAGAAGGTTAGGTAAAGAATTAATAACTAATTCTTACTTCTTTACTAATATAGTAGAGATAAGGTTTAGTTATAAACTACTATTAATTATTACTTCTTTAGGCTTAGATGTCTTAAAAGTAAACTTTACTATTAAGAGTTAGAATAGAGTAGGCTATAAGGTCTTACGTAGCATTTCTATATTCTTATTCTTCTTATTTAAAGAGATATAAGTAGTAAAGTAGAAGATTAATTCTTCTACCTCTAGTCTTTTTCTAACTTAGACTTATTAGTAGACTTATCTATAGTATTAAACTTATTAGCCTTTAGATATTTATTCTTATAATAACTAACTTTACTATATTTATAGTATGTAATTTACTTTTTAGATACATTATTATTATCTAAACTATCTCTCTTTAATCTATTCTAGACTAATCTAGCGTGCTTAGTATTTTTTAAAAGTCTACTAGCACTCTAAACATTAGATTAATCTTAGGTAGGTTAAGATCTATTCTTCTTAGATAGTTATAGCTTATTTTTTATAATATAGAACTTTTATTAGAAAATAAAGTTAGTATATTCTTCTACTTATAAAAGTGTAGAACGTTAGTCTATAGAAAGTAAGAGTAAGCTCTTTCTAATATTATTCTATAAGGCTATAGTATACTCTAGTACTTATATATCTAGTATTTAGTCTAATCTAAGTTTCTTCTATAATAGCCTTATATAATCTAAAAGGTCTATAAGATTCTAATTACTATACTATATAGTACACTTAAAGTAATTATAAGTGTGTTATTTATACTCTTGTAAAAAACTAAGTAAGTTTAATATAATATACTTAAGATCTACCTATAATAGTATCTAGGTAGAGTTCTAGTACTTCTCTAATACCTAATAGATATACTATAGAGTCTTTAATAGCTTAGAGATATATATAGTACTAAAATCTACTCTTTATATCTCTATTATAAAGCTTTATAGTATATAAAGAAAGTATAACTTATAATTCTACTTCTAGTAATTATATTACGCTTAGTTAGTCTTTAAGAATAACTATAAAGGTTTAAGTCTTAGAAGGCCTCTAGTAGAGAAAGTATTCTTTAAGTAAGTTATAGATAGCACTCTTATATTCTTCTTAAGAGTAGTTAAATTACTTATAGTAACTCTAGCGTAAAGATTCTATAACTTAGCTAGCTTAATACGCTTTAGTTAGAGAGTTCTTTAAGTATAAAGGCGTTGTAGCTTCTAGTCTAAAATAGTCTTTTCTAGAATATTCTAGGTCTTATTAGAAGTAAGAATATAATTCTATAGTAATAGTAGTAAGATTAGACTATTACTAACGTTATTATCTATCTTAGATATAGAAGGTATTAGCTTATACACTTTCTTCTTAATAGAAGTTAGTACTAATAGACTTATAGCTAATACTACTACGTTAGATAGTTCTATATTATTATTAATATTTATTAGCGTATAACTATTACTATAAGTATTATAAGTAGATATTATATAATATAAGCGTATTATAAAATAAATAATTTAAATATTAAATAATTAACTACTAATTAATATAGAATACAAGAGATAGTAGAGTAATAGTATATTATCTAGTAAGAATAGACAAATTATTACCTTCTAGGTAATAATTTTCTAGATCTACTTATACTTACGCTAGGTTAGGTTATATAACGTTATCTAACTATCTAGAATATAGGTTTCTAATATATAGCTTTAATAGCACTTTTATAAAAAGCTACTTTAAGTCTAAACTAGAAGGCTTTTAGGCTCTAAAGCCTAATATTAAATACTACTAAAAAACTATAGAATTTCTTATATACCTAATACTAAGTATAAAACTTAATATTACTTTTACTATAAGCTACCTTAGCTACTATATAGCTAACTTAGTAGAGAATTACTACACTACTATAAAGTACCTTTAGTAGTACCTTAAAGGTACTAATAAGCTAGTTCTAGTCTATAAAAGTAAATTATAAGCTCTTTAAGGCTATATAAATACTAATTAGAGAAGTAATCTAGAAAAGTAGTACTCTATCTCTAGCTATATATTTAATTTAGAAAGTATAGCTATTAGCTAGAGCTTAAAATACTAGTATACTATTACTCTTTTATTATATAAAGCTAAGTATATAAGCTAGACCTAAACTACTAAGAAAGCTATCTAGCTAAGAAAACTACTAGCTAAATTTTAAGTTATAAAGCTAAATTTACTAGTAACTTTTATTAAAGTAAATAACTAAAGCGTAATTACGCTAGCTAGTAACTTTAATAACTACGCTAGATCTAAGTATATTAATATTTAATAGTACTATACTAGAGAAGTTTAAGAAGCTAGTATAATTATACTTAAGTATATTTTAATAGCTAATTAGGTAGCTAATAGGCTTACTTAGCTTTTATAGTAAGTTACTTTTAAGTACTTTAAAGTAGCTCTTAAACTAAAGAAATAAAAAAGTTTTAGCTAAACTTAGAGTAATAAGTAGTACTCTTCTTTTTTTTTTCTATAAAGTTTAGAGAGTTTAATAAAGCTACTTAGTCTTAATAGTAGTATAAAATTATTAAATTCTAAAGAAGAGTATTAGAATTTAAATATTTAGGTAGCTAGTTTCTAGCTACCTTAGTAGCTAGCATATAGGGGCAGCTTTGCCGCCTACTTTTAGTATTTAATTAATCTTTATCTTATCCTATTTCAATACTACGCAAGACGGGTAAGATGGGCACGAAGCCTGCGCCGAGGGTCGTCTTTGAGTCGAGTGAGATGCATCGTACTGCGCCGTCGGACGTGCACTTTGCGAGCATGGACGAGATCAACGATAGCTCGATGGACCCCACACGACTGTATGGACGCACAAAGTTGGCCATGATCCTGTTCGCGAAGTACGGCCTGCGGGACCGCGTCATCAAGCCCAATGGTGACAATGTCTACGCTCTCTCCGTACATCCTGGTGCAGTTAATACGGCTATGCAGCAGCAGTGGAAGGACGCGTATCCTGGTATTACCGGCAAGCTGTTGTCAAATGCCATGCTCTTCGCTGGACGAGACGTGGAGCAGGGGTCGTACAGTGCGCTGTGGTGCTGCACGGCAGATGAGATCGAAGAGAAGAACATGAATGGGTACTACTTCAACGACCCCGTAAGTTGCCCTTGACTTTAGAAACAACACTGTTGGGCTCGATGACTGATACGTGACTGCAGGGCCAACCAGGCAAAGAGACATCTCAAGCCAGCGATGAGAACCTTGGTGCTGCGCTCTGGGATCTGAGCGAGCGGATCATCAAAGACAAATTGGGTGCAGATGCGCTGGTCGACTGGAGTGCGAAGGAATAAGATCGTGCTCAGATACAATATGGGCAGCTTCAATTACGTCTAATCTCGTGCGTAATGTGTAAAAGATTATCATTATGGGCGTGTAGAAAACATATCTTATAAGAGCTTACAACATCCTGAGAATGGTACATGGTATAATAACAATGACTCCACCATCCTAAGAAACATAAGGCCAAACCCCGCGTTGATGAGTTATGATCCGCTGCGACCTTCCAAGTTCCCGTGAAGACATATAACGACGTAGACCTTGACAAGATGGAGACTCCCTAACCGCATCATCATCGAGCAGCTCTGGATGCTCGTCGACGACCATAAACACCGCCTCCCGCAGATCGACCGCATGCTCAGGAAGTTCTTCGTAAACCCACAAGATAGCGTCAATCGTCTCGGGATTGGGATGGTAGTATTCCGCTGCTTCCTGGAACCTCTTCGTACATAGCGCCTGTAGGTCGGGTACTAAGTACTTGTCTGCGACTTCCCAGAGCTGAAGGTGCAGCAACATGTGGCGGGGTGTTGGGGTGTGATAGAGCGCTCGGCCTGAGCCCTTTGGCATGCCTTGAAGTATCCGCTGTCGTTTTTGGACGATCTGATCTGATTGTGCGTTTTGTGATGTTTGAAGTTTCCGCTTCTGCGAGGTAGTTGAGGATGTAGCGCCGACAGATGGTGCTACTTCTGCTGAAGGCAAGCTCGAACCCACGTCACCACCCTTGTATGAGTCGTCTTGATCGATACTCTCGTAGCTGGCGTAAGGGCTACTACCACAACCTCTGATCCATGTCAGATCCTTTGCGCGCGGATCAATCTTCCAGGAAGTGGCGTCGTATTCGCCTTCATGAAAGAACTCAATCATGAGACTGACCATAGCAGGTTCGTCGTCATGAAGCGTTATGGTGCCTTCGGAAGCCTCCTTCCCAAATTCTGTTGCGCGCCGAAAGTATTCAGAGTAGGGGGTAATGACGTCCAGATCGACAGAGTAGCTATCAGCCCCGCAGGCTATAGTGAAGTTGGGATTCATGACTCTGGAGTGTAGTCGTCTAGTGTAGGGGTTGAGGTTTGGGTAGGTGTGAATGGGCGAAGGTGGATTGGCAGTGATTGTTGGTAAAGTGGATAAATCTGGTTCTTGCTAGAGTGTTCATGTGCGTCAACAGGCGATGGCAGACAAATAGAGTATTCACTCTGTCGCTGACCACGTGAGCCGGTTGCCTTAGGATTTGACATGAACTCACGATGTGGCCACCTTGGATGAGAGAGGCCGCACATCGTGAGATCGAGTTTGCGATGCGGCCCTGAGCCAAAGGCCTGGGATATTTTCTGGGTTTTGCAGTTTCTGAGCCCCAACCCCGTGCAAAACGTCGTCCAGCTGCCGAGAAGCGACAAGAGGTGTGTTTCTTTCATAGGTCATGAGGTATGAACGTTGAAGGAAAAGAGACGTGTGTAGCTACGAGTCTTTGCAAGAAGTCGAGCATCCAATGAAGTCGTGTAGACTGGATATATGCTCGCTGGCTAGAGAGAGAGTGCTTGGGAGCAATCACTTGGTCTTGTAATCTTTGCGTGTACCTCGACCTGATTGGAAGAGATGACTCTAACGTAGGACCTAGGTTTCAGCACCCAAGACCGAAAATCCCGGCAGGGGGAGGTCGTATTGACCAGCATGGCGTGGGTACGACATACTTCGTGCAGACAGCCTAAACATGCAACGAGGATGACCCGATAAGGCCGCAGCTGTGGTGTTCCGTGGCAGGTGGCACGGCCCGATCGGCTAGTAACGCGAGCATGTCCGAGAACGAGAAGACGTTCCGAAGGCACGGCGCGGTGGGGGCCCAGGGTCGTAAATGCTGTGTAAGACCGTCCGGTGGTGGGCTAGTGACCGGTGAGTAACCCCACCTCCGCTCCATGCAGTAGGCTACAGTCTGCAGCCCTGTCGTGTTCGCCGCTAGGGCTGCAGCTTCGCCACACAGTTGCCACCGTCAGATTGGGGTCCGGATGACGATTCCGCGAGACGAATGGCTCAGCTTGAGCGTATTCTTGCAAGACTCCAGCTAAATTTTCGGGCCTTCTCCGTGGTTGGATTTTGCTGCCGCGCCTTTCTAAGCGCAATGACAGCCTTTTTATGCTCCAATTGATTCCTGTTTCGTTCCAGTATTGCTGACTCGTCGGCACCCATATCCAATATGATTGTGATGAAGTCTACTTGATTGTGTGCGACGGCATGATCTAACACGGAAGCAGGCTCGGTGTCTTTGGCGTTGATATCGGCGCCGAATACGAGGAGAATGCGAGCTAGATTGACATAGCCACGCTGCGCTGCGAGGTGAAGGGGAGCGCGTTGATGGTCCCCCAGAATGTTTACGAGGGTGGCAGGCTCTGGGTGCTGTTCCAACATCGAATGAATTTCTGCGACGAGGGCGGGGTCATCTTTGCACTGCACCACTTTGCGGTGGAAGACTTTCCAGTCTTCCTCTGGCTTTGAGATGCCGAAGATTTGTTTAGAAAGAATGCTTTCGTCGTCGTCGGATTGTGTAAGAAGAGCGCTCGAAGAGGACGAGGAGACAGAGAAACGCGGTGGTGATGTCGGATTGGACGCTCTGTGGAGGTGTGCTGGATCTGAGATAGTGTCCGTATTTGAGAACCATCGATCAAGCGAGACGAGGTCATCTTGAGCTGGCCGATGCTCTTTGCTGTCATACGCTATGGGTTGCTGTCTAAGCGTCAGCACCATCTCTTCTGCTATACATTCCACGTATACTTACTGGTACTGAGCTCTCGGAAACGCGGCGAATATAGGAGCTGACTTCACTAGCATGGCGTTAGAGATGTATTAGTCTGAGGAAGAACCGTACGAACAGATATGAGCAGGCTCCGGTGACAAGGACGATATCTCCGAGGTATCGTCGAATGTCATCTACCGCGAATTCGATATCCTTGGCTACTGCGTCCATTCTTCGTTTCACAGAGGCCTTGTCGAGAAAGGTCTCCGCACTTTTGCTTTGAAGTCCCAAATCCGCTATCTTGCGTTTGATCTCTCTAAGACGATCGCGACATAGCGCGATCTTCTCACGCACCAAGATTGACGGCTCGCTATTGCCATCGGGCTCAGCTTGATGGTACTTCGAGTTGAGTAGGCGTACAACTCCATGCAACTCTGTTATCCTTTCGAGGAGTCGGTCGACCAAGTCGTCGATTTCCCGCACCGCTTCGATATAGTTCTTGCATGCTCGGACGAGGGCCAGCCCAACCGTTGCGATGGTAATTATGCTGGAGACCGGCTCGGCCATGGTTACTTGGGTGCCGTGTGTGGTGGCCAGGCCCGCTTTAAAGTGGATCGTTGGAGGAAGTCAGGAGCCAGGTTGTGGTGTTACACAAGGATATCGTCTGATAAGTGCAGGCGAAAGCGCAACGATCGTTACGGATGCGGCATCGATTTCATTTGAAGAAGGCCTCTTGCCAGGCGGCTCAAAGATCAAGAAGGGGCTTAGCAGAACGCGTGCAGCCTGTTCATGACCGAGAATGAGGACGGGTAATGTGAGAGGCACACGTGTGAAGTGAGTTGACGTAAGTGTCAAGTATAAACAGTCAAATGCTCCATGCAAGGGTTGGCATTCGTCCGATGCGTCAACGGGCTGGGGCAACTCCACACGTACCTGGGGAAAGCGGCTGGCGGGGAAAGCTCGACGGCCACACTATTACAGATCAAGTAGGCAGCCGCTTATGTGCCGTCCCTTTCTCACCAGACCACATATCGACTAGCCGAGCGGGCTGCGGGGACAGCTCATACGCCGAGGCACTCGTCATTCGGAAGCTCATTCCGAATGCCTGCGATTTCACGTAAACTGGTTCATCGTCTCGAACGGCGTCTCGAAAGGCAGAACAGACGTCCCCGCGATGGCGCGTCCTAGCTAGGCGATTTCAAAGCATGCTGCTCGGCAGAGGGCTGAGGAGAGAATTAAGTGTCACCAATAAATCCAAGGTTGCAAGGTGATGCAAGGGCTGACCCTAATGCCAATTGCGGCTTGGTGGCGTCTGAAGGCACTTAGCGATGTATGCGTTCATTGGCCGAAGTCTCCCAAGACCCATGTCGCCTGAAAAAGGGCAGCGATGCATGCGAAAAGCATTGGCAAGGCAACCAATCCACTGAGAAGAGGGCGATCATCAGAACGTGGACTTATTGCTCAGCCACCCGTCTAGGAGCATTTGTAGGTAATATGGCGGTGGAGGACCCCGACAAGACATGCCGTATGCACGATCAGGCTCGCCCTTGGAAAGGCCTGTCAACCTTATAGGACTCAGCCCGATGCGGCAGGCAAACATATATTGTGATGCTGGGGCGCGTTGTCGCACATTGATTACGGCCCCTAAGCAACATACCTAGGTACTCTTGCTCAAAGCGCTGGCCACTATGACTGAACCCCTTCAGCAAGCAACAGCTTTTGGAGGCACAGTAGGGAACCATACCTTTGCGACGAATCAACAGCGCTCAACAAGCGCAAGACAAAAGTATGCGTATGAGTCGATGTTAACAGAACGCAACTGACTTGGTATAGTATAGATAATCCGTTTCTGACGTTCGATGACACGATTCCCGACCTCAAGACTCAACGTACTGAGCTAGAAGAGTATGTTTGGGAATTTGCTTCATTAGCCGGTCTCAAAGACCGCTATGAATTGCTTCGATTTGGTGCTCGTCTCGCTCGAGACAAGTATGGGGCTATGAGAAAATACGCGGATGAGCTCACAGATTCGGAAAAAGAGTTGTTGGAGAAGGAAAAGGATGAGAGTACAGGCTTTTGGAAGCAGTCCAAATTTCTGCGCGCGACAATCATGACCGCAAGTCTTGCGGGTATGATCCAAGGATGGACGCAAAGCGCCAATAATGGCACTGCTCATGGCATGCCAGACGAATTTGGCCTCTGCTATCGCAGGGATATGAACTGTCCTTCATCCGATCTTTGGACGTTTGGGATGCTGAACGCCATTCCGCTGCTTTCCGCAGGCCTCTTCGGTACACTCCTTGCAGATCCGCTGCAGGAGAACTTCTTAGGGAGGCGAGGTAGTGTGATGCTGTCTTGTGGCATCACAATAGCCTCGACAATCGGTGCATCACTTACGCAAAATGTAGGCTCACTCGCAGCTTGCCGAGCTATCAACGGAATAGCTCTGGGTGCAAAAGCGTCGATAGGTCAGTGCAAGCTCTCGTTCATGCTTGCGTCGATGAATCTAACACCTTGTAGTTCCAATATATGCGGCTGAAATTTCACCGGAGCATATACGTGGCGCTGTTCTGGCGAACTGGCAGCTTGCTGATGCAGCCGGTACGTCCACTCCCCTTGACATGGTGTAATCGCTGATCCAGTAGGCATCTTTCTCGGGTTTCTGGCAAACTTGCTGGTCGTTGTTTATGTGGAGAGAGCAGAGTCCGCATGGCGCATTCTTACGAACACTGTGCTCATCCCCACAGTGCCATTGCTGGTGATGATATACTTGATGCCGGAATCGCCGCGATACTTGATGAAGCATGGAAAATACACCAAAGCACTCGAAGCCTTCGAACAGGTCCAGACCACGCGGTTACTAGCAAGTCGGGATTTCATGTATGCGCATGCTCAGCTGGATTTCGAAAGCCGACTCTTGAAAGGGGAGACAAATGAGCTTGGCACCCTGGCCGATCGCGTAGATGTCAGCTTGCCGAGCTTTTCTGGAGAGCCATCTTCGCCATCGCCAAATCGCGCACAATTAGAAAGGGCCGCTGAACACGGAGCCGTATCGCCAGGTCGAATCGCCCTAGATCCCAATGTCGAGAGAACGAAGTTAGGGGCAACAGCGGTCCGGAACAATAGCCAGCACCAAGTCAGGCCGCAGCCCGAGCAAAATGAAAACAGTAACATTGAGCTCGCGACATTGAATAGGAGGTGGAGCGACATCTCCAGCCTAAACTTCGAAGTTGGGGTCAAACGAACGAAGGAGAACAACCCGTACTCATACAACATCGGTGTCAACGGCTACTACAAGCGTCTGAGGGAGTTATGGTCCAACAAGCGGTGTCGACGAGCATTGCTGTGCGCTTCGGTATCCATGATCACCCAGACCCTGACAGGCGTCAATACGATCGCCTTCTTAGGTACGATAGTGTGGCCCAACGCCGGAACAAACAGTGATCGTACATCCGCGATAATAGGTCTGGCCTTTGGAGCAGCGAATTACATGTTCGGGCTTCCTGCTTATTGGTCCTCGGATCGATTGGGACGTTCCGTCATGCTTTTGCTCGGCCTGCCAAACATGGCATGGTCAATCCTAGTCTTTGCCTTCCTCTTCAGAATCACCGACACGTCCGTCCAGATACCATTGGTCAGCATCTTCGCGGTCATCTTCGTTGCCTTTTATGCCCCGACAGCCGGTACGTCTCCGTTCTCGATCGCAGCAGAGGTATTTCCTCTCGTATCGAGGGAGGCTGGCATGGCTGTTTCCGTCGCGGTCAACCTTCTGGGTGCTGGCGTGTTGGTACTAGTCTTCCCATTCCTGCAGGACAGCATTCGGCCGACAGCTGCATTCTCTATCTTCGCAGGTTTGAATATGGTGGCGTTTGTGCTGGTGTATTTGTTCGTTCCGGAGACGAGAATGCGGACTCTCGAAGAGCTGCAGTATACATTCGATTTACCAACGGGATGGCATGTCGCGTATCGAGTGGGGTACATACGACAGCATGTCTGGGCGAATTGGTGGAAATACTTGACGCGCAAGGAGGTTCAGCCGCCGGTTCCGTTCTACGAATGGGCACGAGTGACGTATAGGGAGACGGAAGGTGCCAGCTGAGTTGTGTGTGGAGGTCAGCGTGGACATGTTTGGCGGAGGCGGAGATGGAGGTTTGAGCGCGACTGGACGCGATCCCCTTCCGCCAAGTAAATGACGTATCGAGGCTAGCGCGAAAGACCCCTACCACCAAGCACTTGAGTGCACGCCTACATCTGAACAGCGCCGTGTATCACAATAATATTCCGCAACCACGTGGGCTTCGAACCATATTTGCTCGTTGAATATTCCAACTCGTAGGGCTGTTCAAACTCGGTGTTTGTATCACCACATAACGTTGAAGCTGCGCTGAGCGCCAGTCCAGCGTTTGTCGGGCTGTCTCTCTCACCCATCGCGTCTTAACCCTAAGAGTCACGGTCCTGGGCTAGCGTCAATAAAATCAAACGCGGCGTACGCAACAAGATCTCTCATCTACCTTCCTAACCCAATCTAATAACAAAAGTGTGATATGACGCCACCTGAAGCAATCGCGATGACGGTCCCGTTGGAGGCGATGTAAGTCACCAAAATCGAATCCCGTATCATACTAATAAGATGTAGCACCTTTCGCAACCAGACCGAGTCACCTCTACTTCGACTTCCTGGGGAGCTGCGCAATCGTATCTACGAGTTGGTTGTTGGCGGAAACATCATCTTCGTATCAGGTTTGCTCCAGCGACCGGAGAAAGCATTGGTCGATCTCATGACCCCTGGAGTGGCCCAAAAGAGTACCTGGACATCTGTTTCGGGTATTTTTACCATCGGTCTTGCATGTCGTCAGCTACACCGAGAAACAGCTCTCACCCAGTACACAAAGAACGTCTTCCACTTCGACGACATGCAATCTGGTCGAGCTTTCGTGAACGGTCTCACTAGTACACAGCGAGCGCTACTCACGTCTATATCCGTCAACGTCGTGGATTACTTCAGCGCAGATCCCTCATGGGACCTTATGTTAACTATGTGGAGCTCCGTGGTAGACACCGACATCGACATGTTCTTGCCCGAGCTAGAGATTGTCTATATCAGTGCACAGGACCGGACAGGCTCTTTTCGGGCGAATGAGGAAGAGGTACTTCACACAGTTGGGCGAAAGCTGAAGATCGGTACATCACGCAAGGAAGGTGTCTCGCTTATGATCCTTGATGTGTTCCGAGGAATGGAGAACCGAGATCAAGCGAAGACGATCAAACTGAGTTGGAACGGTGAGGCGTTCGTCTGATTGGTGTTTCCCTTGGCCCGACACGGCGAGACCCAGTCGCTGCAGATGGGGAATGCATTACGGATGGCCATCGGTTCTTCTCCTACATATGGAGTGCCCTCGAGATAGCCAGGCTGACAATGGGATAACTCATGATTCGATCGTGAGAACCATGCTTTATAATCTGTTCTCTGATGATCCCACGCTTCCCTTTCCATCCTACTTCCCAACCACCAGCACCGAGAGGCGTCCTCTCTTTCAATTTCACCTTTTCTAGCTCTTCGAAGGTCATAGAAGAGGACGAGTCAAATATTGCGTTAACAGCGTGCCAGAAGAGGACATCTGAGTGACTCCATGGGATATCGTAGTCATCTTCGGCGTGTATTAACGTGATGTCATAGTTTCGCTGCTTGCCGTTGACTTTGACACTGTCCAGCCGGTGAATGAGTGCTGCAAGTTTCCCTTTAGATGGAAATTTGGTGATGATAAACCGGTTCAGCAGGTTCATAAGCGGTGGAAATATTGCGAGAGGAGAGAGCAGCGGGAGGGTGTGAGCAACCTTGTACGTCTTTGTAAGCGACTCCACATCGGCGAATGGGGCGACTAAGACGACTCCCGCTAGAACAACAGGAGTAGGCTGTGAAGCCAAGTGATGAGTGAGCGATAACGCTACGGCAGTACCCATGGATTGGGCAAAGACCACAATCCTCTCTGGTGGTATACCCGCAGTATCCGTTACGAACTTGAACAAGGTAAGCGCATCAGTAAGAAGACCAGCTTCCGAAGGCCACCCAGAACTGGTACCGAAACCACGATAGTCGATAGCCAGGACATGTACGTTGGTCGATGTCGCGCTCATCGCCCTGTAACTTTGGGGCCGCCACCCGGATCCCAGTGTACCTGCTGCGCCATGCAGATAAATCACTACTTGCGCAGTAGGGTCTTTCAGTAAACGGAAGGAGATTCGGTCTTCGACATTCGCGCAGAGTCCGACTGGCTCCTCACGGAGTTGGGTTTGATGTTGGCGGTATGTCTCCAGTGGCAGAACGTGCCAAGCATGTAGAGTCTCACCATCTGGCGTCTTGAGATGGAAGGGTGTGACTTGGTTGCGCAGAAAGCCCCATTGCTCGGGTACGTTGATATCCTGATTCCAGGTTCGGGTTACTCGGTGCAGGAAGATGACGTGATCCTGTAGAGTCGGGATCGTGAGTAGCAAGACGAAGCCGAGATAGAACCCGATAAGGCCAATGAAGATTGAGAGAAGAAGCGTAAGCATGCTGGTGGCTATATATCTGGCCTATCTCAAGTTTGAAAAGTCCAGTCGCGACCAGGACGATTTGAGATTTACAGTAGCGCTAACCGATGTGGGGTAAGTGGAGCATGACGAAGAACGCCACATATTTGTGTGCGGTTCTCCATGTGATATACAATTCTCGAATGCTAGAAAGTTCACAATGTTGGTGTTGAGGACGGGTTGCAATTGCGCGTAATTGTCGTGATTTGGGGAATGACCAATCGGGCCTAGCTCAGGGTCATTGCATGTGCCGAGGTTCAGGCCAAGCACAAACCCCCAAACGCGTCAAATCCACACTCCTTCCTCCATCCCACTCCAAGATACGTTGAAAATAGAAGCGCCATACTATGCTCTGATCGCGACAGCTTTTTGATACCTGCCATGCGATCTAACTCATGCCAAGACTGATATAAGATCAGCGGCATATGTGGACAAACTCTCACAGACGCGCTGCGAATAGCTGGTATGGCAGTATCACTTCAGACATCGCTAACGACCTCGCAGCTCTGGCGCGTAATCCCATCCAAGCACAATCGTCTACGATATCAGTTTGACTCTAGACTCGGTTCACGCAACGCTAGCACATCCAATCATATCGCACACGGCATGTAGGCTGACTTCCAGGAAGAGGCAGGCACCACTGATGGCGACTCTGGCGACTGGACCGATCCCGAAACCGGTAATAGCGTAGAAGATGATGACAGCACATGCGAAAAGGTTTCCTAATTCGTCATGGGCCCTGGTAATACGGTGAATCAGGAAGTTACACATTAGAAGAAGAAGATGCATCGGTGCTTATACAGTACGCACGGTCGCAGCACGCATGCATCAAGCTTTCACGGGAACCGATATACGTCCCGTACCGATGAGGATGTTATGCGCATGCTCAACCCGAGAGCTTGGAACGTCGTTTGAGCTGACCTCCCTACTTTGCTGCTCTGTTTCTTGCAGCGTACGGATATCCTCACTATTCCTTACTCTTTACGCAGCTGAATCGGCCATCAAACTGATTGAGTATATCTAATATGGATGAGTTGCGAGGGAAAATGTGTGAGCAGCCACATGATCGGTGACCGTATTCCAAAAAAAGATTAGGCTGATGGTTGCTGACCACACCTGTGGAAGTGGCTTTACTATGTCGCTTCGAGTGTATATATGGACATTTGCATCGGCCAGCGATGGAAGGTGCGAAGTCCAACCTCAAGTTCAAGATACAGCCACAGTCGACATGGGCAACTCTGCACCGAACATGCAGCTGCCAGACGCAGCGGCCATCCTCCAGTCCGGTAACGCTACGATATATCATACAGCCTATTCGTTCCCTACTTCTGGATATCAAGTCTTCGTGTCTGTAATTCGCACCCTCCTCATACTTCTGTTTCTCTTTGTTACATACCATTGCTTTCACTACTTCACATGCGAACTTCCGCCGTTTGGCTCCGGTCTCAAAGCTCTCCCGGGTCCGCGCTCAACACTTCCTTACTTAGGTCGCGTTCACGATGTCGACCGCATGCAGGCTTGGACCTCAATGCACAAGTTCAGCAAGCAGTATGGCGGGCTGTTCGCATGTACACTTGGGGGCGAAACGCACATCTGGGTCGCAAGAGAAGATGTTGCGCAAGACTTAATGGTCAAGAACGCTGAGCTGAGTTCGGCGAGGGCAGATATTGGGTCTTTCCCAGGTGTGACACAGGACTTTTTGTACTTGCCTCTGCTCGGATACACAGGTATGTCTGCCATTACCAAGACTCTGATATGAGCTTGTCACTGACCTCCGACTTACAGATCACTTCCACCGTCAAAAAAGATTCGCAAACGCAATGATGACCCGCGCAGCTAAGAACCAATACTACGGTCACATTCAGCTTGAGATGAAGCGCTTCATGCACGAGCTCTCCCAAAAGCCAGAAGACTTCTTCACTCTCACCCATCTCTTCTGTGCTAGAATCAGCTCTCGCCTCGCGTATGGCACCGCCGATCGTTCAATAGAGCACATGATCAACGCCGGCGCCTTCATCTCCCAACTTGGCCCTTCTGGGCCCATCCCTAATCTCATGCCGTTCCTAAGATACTTCCCTGAGTGGATGGCGCCGGGTCAGCGCGGAGTGCGAGAACGCCGAGATAAGGAATCAGCGCTGTGGAAGGACGCATTCGATCTGGCAAAAGCATCCAAAGATAAGGCAATTTACACCACCGCAAGCTTGGATACCAAAGCTATTGGCTCCGATACCGACCTTCTCTTCGCTGACGAGGAGGAGGCCAAGGCTGCAGTAGGCATGCTCTGCACTGTCGCGATCTATACTATTGGCGGACCGGCGACGCTGTTCGTCATGGCTATGATCCTACATCCGGAATGGCAAGCCAAAGTGCGTCAGCAAATTGATGAGGTAGTTGGAAAGGATGAGATGGTGGACTTTAAGCACAGTCCACGGTTACCGATTTTGAGGGCAGCTATCAAGGAATGTGTGAGATGGAAGAGTACTGTTCCACTCGGTAAATTCTTTCTTCCCTTGTGTCCTCAATCCTCGAACTGTTCCAAGTTCCATACAGCATGAAGCTGACCAGTCATCAGGCGTCCCCCGCCTACTCTCGAAGAACTACACCCACTCTGGCTACCATTTTCCCCGCGGCGCCGTCGTCCACGTTCTCGACATCGCCATGGCTCAAAACCCCACCACTTATTCCTCTTCCCCTCCCTCCGTCTACGACCCCTCCCGCTGGCTCGACCCCTCGTCTCCCAATTTCAAGTCTCCACTTACCGAACACCCACGCTTGAAAGGCCATCATATCTTTGGGAGGGGCAAGAGAGTGTGTCCTGGCCAGGATCTTGCGGAGGCGGAGCTGTTGGTCTTTTGTGGGAACTTGGTCAAGAATTTTCAACTTGGGAAGAAAGATGGAGTAGAGATTGGGCCGGACCAATGGACACCGCATGTCATCGGGGGACCGTTGCCGTTCCCCTGTGAGATCAAGGCAAGAGATGATGAGAGGGCAGGAGTGGTTGACAAGTGGTGGGAAGATGTCAAAGGGCAGATGGAGGGGTAAAGAGGTTTTCGGTGTTGGAAGCGGATACGCGAGCTGTTCTTTCGATATACCATACAATCTAACCATAACCCATGATTCAACCAGTGACAATGCCCCACGTTAACCAAGTGTCGATCGTCTTCTTTCTCTCCAGCAGCCTCTCCTCTTCGCTCTCATGGTCGCCTGCTGTAATTCCTCTCCTCTCCTTTGATTCTGCTGTCTCCCTTAGTAGGGTACTACCACCATCACTCGAAAGCTCATATGAACGAAACTCCGCGTTCGACCATCCGGTGGCTAGTCATAGATGATCAGCAATCGTCAAAATGATGCAGCGTTCAAGTGGCTGCAAACCTTGTGCGCTCAATGAGCCCTTCCAGTCATCGGTGAGGAAGTGTAGGAAGCAGCCATGCGAGACCACAACAATGTTGTTCTCCGGTCTGTCTCGAAGCCATTGCCGAGCGCTTTCGGCTCTAGCGAGAAGTGAGGCACTCGTGAGCGATGCGTCAGTCTGCCATACTTGGTAAGCCTACCCTGTACTGATACTTTTTGGAATGCTGGATCAAGATTTGATGGTCCATCCGCCTACTTTCACTTACCAGCCCTCTTCTACGAGGCCGAAGTCCGCTACGGTATTCTCAAACTCTTCCTGAAGAACTTCGACATCGCTGCCAGTGTCGCAAGGTAAGTTGCTTGCTTCTTGCAACGAGGGTAAAGCCAGAACCTGAACACCCCGTGACACTTCTGGCTCAAATCCTAATAACGCGGTGTGAATTGTTCGTCGTAGGGGTGAAGCGACCACGAGCTCAACTTCGGCGTGGTACGGAAACGTTGCTGCAAGTTCGTGGCATTGGCGCTCGCCATACTGTGTGAGCGACGGATCTGGGACGTTGTGGTTGCTGTAGGACAGATTGTGGACACCCTGCGCGTGCCTGACACAATGGATAATACGCGCCACTATGCGCCGAACGGCCAGATCAGTATTTGGGCATTGCTGTTCTAGCTACGGACACTCACTCGTACACCAAAGCTGCGTGGTAGCAGAATTAATGCGATGAGGCTGAGCGAAAGATGGTGCGCAGCGGGGCTGTGCCGTCCCCCCATATCATCTCAGCCGCACCGCGCTCCCACCCGAGTACTTTCCTTCATCTCAATCTCGCCCAGACAAACCATCTTCGAGTCTTGGTGCAAACAAATGTCCAAATGGAGATCTCTGGGCCGCCTGCCAAACGTCGCAAAACCACTCCGTGTGCAGGTCATAGGCCAGTTACCAGGGCCAGCCTGGCGCGCACTCAGCAAGACGACTCCACATTACCCGCCTACACCTATCGATCTCTCAAAAAAGAAGATGAAATACGCATCTTCAAAGTCGAGAAGACAGGACCGAGCGAGTGGCAGTACGACATCGAACACACAAGATTAGCCAATGCTCCACCCTTCGAAACCGTTTCATATGTCTGGGGTCCGGACACTCGCCAGAATATCCTGTGTCTAAAAGACGGTCAGACGATACGGACCAACGATAACCTTGCTAAGGCACTGCCTTATCTCTCAGCAGAATGCAAGACTGGCTATCTCTGGATCGACCAAATCAACATCAATCAGTCTAGTACGCAAGAGCGCAATCATCAAGTCAAGATGATGGGTGATGTCTACAAGAAGGGTGAAAGAGTCATAGCTTGGTTGGGCATGGGAGCAAGACCTAGCAAACAACTTCTCGCTCTCATCACGGTAGCAAGCTACTCACTCGAACTTCGAGAAAGTATATTTCTCACAAAAGAAAAGATCATGGATCGACTTCTTCAATGTTCTCCACAAGACTTCGTCGCGATTTTAAACCTTCTCGAAAGCGCTTGGTTCTCCCGTGCATGGGTCTTTCAGGAAATTGTACTCTCAAAGCGCGCAACTTTCCTTTTAGGAGGGCTTGCCATACCTTTCTTGGCACTTGTGTGGTTATCGAAAGCTCCTTTCGTTCCAAAAACATCTGGGGTTGCACCATTGCCTCGTATAAGATCGTCCATGCTGGCTCGGGACTCGTCGCAAGACATGTCATATCATGACATCGTCTCCACGCATGGATCTCGCACTCTCTCTATAATGCATCGCAGCTGGCACAACATTTCTCATACTCGCGACGAAGATGCTATGCCCTTTGTATGGACACTCTCAAAGTTATCCCCGATGTTGCAAACCACCGACCCCAGAGACTCCGTATATGCATTTTTAGGCTTACAAAAGATCGACGACGATGCTGCACCTATCGAGACAGATTACAATTCTACCTACGAAGAGACCCTCATTAATACTGCGAAATCTATTATACGGTCGACGCAGTCTCTGAATCTGCTATCATATTGTGGACGAGAGAGAAACGACCAACTATTATCCGGGAATCTGCCGTCTTGGGTACCAGAATGGCAAGCCTCGGTCTCAACACCACTTTTCGCGCTTGGTTTTGACGGAGCTTTTCTTTCTAATGTAGATCATCACATTTGGGCTCATTCCCAAGATCAATCCGAACTACGTGTGCGGGGCGTGCGTTTCGACACGATAGATAGATGCTTCGCACCTGAATTTCGGTTTCGGTCCGCTAGCTGGTATGATGAGAACCTCAAAGACTATCTATCACTCGACCAACGACTAGAGTCTATACAAGAACATACAGCTTGTTCTCGTGAGCGCCTTCTTAGCGTTCTACTCACGCAAAGCTACCGACCTGATGTCGAGTACAAGGACTACCACGGCTTTCTAGCTCCTGAGTCCACGATGAGCCTTTTGGATGCATACGACGACTATGTGGAAAACATTGGAAAGTCTTCGGTCGTGGAAAATATCCAACATCTGCACGCGTTGCGCTTTCACACCTACCTTATCAATACCAGACAGCTCTTCTTAACAGAAGGCGGGCATCTAGGCCATGTCAACCAGCCATCTAAAGGCGACATCATCTGTACCCTAGAGGGATGCTCACATATGGTAACGTTGCGACCCTGTGAAAATCATCGTTTTACTGTTGTGGGAATTACTTTCGTAGAGAAAGAGTTATGGGACATCAATCGGCTTAATTTTTACTATACCGGTCTTCAGAAATCGACTTGGGCAAGACACGAAGGCGAAGAGTTTATCTTGATATGAACTCGCGTCAGGAAGGTCAACCACTCGTCGAACCAACGGCTTTTGTACCTAGTTATACTAGTGAACGATCACACTGGACTTCGTTCGACGTGCGGACTCATTATGTACATGTACAGTCCAAATGATGTTCGTTCTTTGTACGAGCGGACAGCCATTTCTGAGCAAAGTATATCAAAATAGTAAAGCCATTACATTAATCTCTATTCGCCAAGTTCGTAAAATCTATCATGTCCGTCTCATCAATCATACGTCAAAACTCTCTAGTAGTAAGTGTAAACAGGCGAGGCAGGAAGAGTGCCAAAGTCACCGGAGCCGAAGGGGCTGCTGGGCGAAACCTTTCCGCCATTGACATCAGAAACGCCGAACCAAGCGAGCTCACTGCACTTGCTGACAGTGATAACAGCGAATGCAGGCGCGGGCTGCGCGGTGTATCCCCAAGAGACGGTCAGATCAGTACCGCACGACTGGTTGGACCAGCTCTCGGTAGCAGCGTTGGCGCCGGGCATGCGGATAACAGTGCAGTGCTCGGTCTTGCCATCCGCGGTGAAGTCGAAGTTGTAGTCGCAACCCGAGTTTCCGTCGATGCAGTAGCGGCTTAGGTTCGAGACGGTCCATGTCTTGCCCTCAACGGGTTTGGGGCTGGAGTTTGGTGTTCCGGTTACCGCAGGGCAAGGGGCAGCAGTTGGTGTAGGGACAGCGGCTGGTTGAGATCCAGCAGAGGGCGTAGGGCATGATCCTGGGTGGGCAGGGTTGCAACCTCCTGGAATGCCAGAGATGGACGAAAAGGTGGCAGCTGGAGCAGAGGTTGGTGTAGGGCACGATCCGGGGTGAGCTGGATTGCAGCCGCCGGGGATACCGGAGATAGAAGAGAAGGCCGCCGCTGAAGTAGCTGTTGAGGTCGTCTTTGGGAGGAGGGCGATTTGGGATGAGCACCATTCGCGGATGCGCGCGGCGTCCTCACCGTAGCAAGCGGTCCGGTCGCATGAGCAGATGACTTCAGCAGTTCCTGCGGCGACGCACGAGTCGTAGGCGATTGTGCATTTGTCCTCGCGCATGCGGAGAGTGGGAGATGCTGATGCAGCGGATGCTAAGATCAACGCGATGGCGGCAGATCTGGCGAGCATGTTGGCGAGAATGTCTTTTGGGTCTTGAGTGAAGTGGAAATGTATAGTGTGTGTTGAGGAGATGCTGGTAGTTGTTGTTGGCTGTTGATGGATGATGAGGATGCAAACAACTGGACATGCGATGGCTGGACTATATATCTTTCATGTACATGGCCACCACGATGTCATCCTAACTGTTGGTAGTAACGGAGTGTGATCGGATATACGGAGGAGGAACAGCTGATCACGTCCTTGCTTAGCCCTGGTGCCATGTTGTGGCTCTCGTAAGGCTCTCGGAGAGGCGATTCGAATCTCATTGGCTCGCGAGCGGGACTTCCACGACGTTCGGCTCTTGTTGCGCCGCAATACGAGGCTCAGTCGCATGATATGACGATATTGCGCTTAACACGAGCGACGTTTTCTGGTTAAGGGTCTTTTTCGATAGTTCGGATGCATCCCGGCGAGGCTTGATGGGCAGCTAACGACTAGCCGCTCCATTATTAGCAGCCAACTATAGAATAGCACCTGTCAATCGAGCTTGACGAAGCTTGAAAAGTAATCGCTTCGGCTGTCATCCGAGCAGCGGTGACAAAATAGGACGAAGTTGCAAGGTAAAACTACATTTGATGTTACTTTGGGGATGCACGTACTGTCTACCCGGGTAGTCCCATGTGCCGAATACGATGTGGCCGGAAGATTTGTGAGTTTGTGACGTGGTTTTCGGCTAGCTGATCGTCTCCATGAAAACAAATCCCCGCGTCCGGACACTCCGCTTCCAGACCATCACGAACGGCGCTTCGTTGTTGTCGCATGCCCCGGCGGCCGCGATTTGGAACGTGCTGGAGGGCGAGGCTGAGCTGGCACAGTCGGTGTGTGCAAGTGGTAGTCCAGATCCTAGTCGCCAAAGGCAGGTTCTGCTAAGCTTTGCGCGACAATGGCATCGAGCCTCGTGCACTTTCGTCCCTGGTTGAAATCCCGTCGCAGCTTCTCGTCTCTGTCTTTCCTGCTATGGTGGATGACTCAAAGTTCGTGAAACGGCGCTGCAAGCAAATCGTCGGCGACATAGCATTCAGCGCATGCGTTGTAGCAAAAAGTGACATTTTTCACAATGAGTCGTTCCGTTTCGCAACGACGTGATGTGGTGCCATTGAACAAGAATAACATCGAGAGCTCCAGCCTCACACTCAGGACAGTCGCACTATATCGCATCGATCCTAGCGCCACCATTAGCGCAACGCCATGCCGCTCCCGTAACCCGCAATCGTCATCACCAAGACCAAGGGATGACCATAGACAGCAAACAACGCGCTGCCAACGTCCACAGACACTCGAGATAGACCCACCATTATATGCAAAGCCTTACATGATGGCTGCCGCTGCTCCCGAATCCGCCGACGTGACTGGCGCACGTAAACTGCCCACAGCCGATGAGTTGTCGGAAGCGCTCAAAGTTGATGTATACGATCGCGAAGGCAAGACGAAGACATTGGGTGAACTGGTCAAAGGCCAGAGGACTGTACTGGTGTTCACTCGGCATTTCTGTGAGTGCTGTCCAATCGCAGGGTTCATGTGCTACTACACTCGCATCATCTCGATCAGAAGGGTAGTGGAAGAACAGGATGCGTGAAGGATGCTAACATCGACAGGGTGCTTGAACTGCCAAGCGTATGTCCGCTGCATCAGCGAATCTATACCGCCATCGAACCTCCCTTCCAATACTCAGAGTAAGCATTAACTGTGTGGAGTCATTATACATTCATCTAACAAATAGTGTCCAGTTCTCATCATAGGATGCGGCTCCTACCAACCCATCGACACCTATGCTGCCAACTCTTCTTCCAAATACCCCATCTACACTGACCCAAGCCTTCGACTGCACAAGCTTTTCCAGTTCAAGTCTAATCTAGCTGAAGGCAAGGCCGGTGATGAACAGCGAGACTACATGCGCAACGCGGGTAGCACCATGTCCAGAATCTTCGGGGGCATCAAGGGCGCGTTGGGGAACCTGCAGCATGTGAACTCTGTGGGACCGAAGGCATTGAATGGTGGTGAGGTGGTTCTATCAGCCGGTGAGTATAGTTAGATATTAATACTCCGTTTCGCAGTCGCAGTGCTAACGGAAAGAATGTTTAGATGGCGAATGCGAGTACATGTACCGCATGCAGAACACGGTTGATCACACCAACATCTCAGAGCTTGCGAAGCTGGTTGGAGCTGAGTATACCCCATTGAGCAGCGAAGAGGGTAAAGAGCAGGCTGGCAATGGCCCAACGTCGTAGTTCTCTACAGTTGACATGTGCGCGGTGTTTCCAGGAGTTGCTCTAGTCGAAATTTCACAAAGTCCAACACGTTTTCTAATCATCTGATGCGTTCATGAGGATCGTTGTACTGAATCAATTTGTTGACATCATGAGTAGCCTAACTATCCGCGTAGCACAGCTAAGGTCTCTTCAGTGTTCTTGGGCGTGATCCATCCATGATCGAATCGATCCTTCGCATCGAAGTATTCGAGTCTCATTTTATCCTCCTCGATTAGCCATTCCAAAGCCTCAAGCGGAGTTTCACCCGCATCATTCCTCGCATCACGCAGTTCAGGCCAGCGGGCAACCATAGAAGCTGCACTTTGGTACATCCCACTGAGAGCAACAATGTGCAGGAGGTTGCCACCTGAAGAGTGTAGGACAACCCCATAAACCTCTTCCGTGCTCATCTCACTATTTAGCGTCCAGCTTTTCGCGGAACATGTAGTCTAGAGATGCAAGGACGTCAACAACAATGTTCATAAAGTCCTCGGTACCTTTAGATAGCTGTAAAGGCGAAGGATCAAAATCATCTGCTGCGGGTAGGCAATAGCATAGATAACTAGCGTCGCTCAACAAGGCGAAGAATTTCGTGTTACCCACACGTCAGAATCCCAGATCGCGAAATCTCTGTTCTTAATCATCGTAAAAGATGCAAGGAGTCAACCCCTTTGCAGTACTTTCCCATAAATTAACAAACGCATACACAGGCTTCTTAAAGTAATCTAAGAATCCTTCCAGTACCTTTCGCATAATGCGTGCGCTTCCACCGTAGCATCGAGCAGCATAATTTGTAGTAGTACCGTTAAGTAGAAGGAGAAGACCAGTGTCTAGCTCCAATCCCCAGATGCCAGACCCCTTCTTAACGATGTACTCTTTGTATTCCTCTCTCAAGTAACCGTAGCGATTGAATAGCTTGAAAGCGAGTTCTTTAATCGGGCCCAGGGTGGCGAAATAATTTATCTAGCGATAAAAGTCGGACATTTAAGTGCGGTCGATAAGATACCCAGGCTAGAGATCGAAGTCAACGCTCGTTGGCCCGTTGCGAATAAACTTTAGCCCATCTTCTTCTCCTAAACCTGAAAATAGTGTTAGCCAGTGCTTGTATCCATATTTAGTGGCGTTAAACAATGGTTCGTAATAGAAGCTCGTGAATTACAAGGAAATCCCAACACCAAATCGTCAACAACAATTTCAACGAAAGTTTCAGAAATCCCAGTTTTATGCGTAATTGCAGTTCTATCCTGTGTATAACAGTTATATATATCTTCAGACCATAGATGCAGCCCCTACACTTCGCTACCCGCGTTTCTACATGTTGTGGTTGCTCCACGTCGTCGCTGCAAAAGTTGAACAAGCGAACTTACCAATGACATCGTATCCAGCGCAGGACGTAACTTGATGAAAGGCGGAGTAGTTTTGAGACATTTCGCACAACCAGCTTCGTCGGACCGTGAAGTATTGAGGTTTTCAGATGGTGGATGGGCAAGAGGTTGGAGTGAAGGAGCAGGGTGAAGAAAGAGGCAGCGACAGGAGAAGAAGCAGGTAAACCCTTATCAACCCCGCACAAAGAAGCTTGACTAATAGAGTCTAGGTTATACTGCGACGTGTCAATCTCGGTACTTCTGCGCGCTCAGTCAGGCCATGAGTGACGCTTCAGCGGCACGGCATCAAGCAAGATCAGACCTGGAGTCGGTCCACACATAACTCCGGCACACCAAAATGTGATCGAATGTTCTTTGGAACCTTTCTTAGCCCACGAAAGCCTGCGTTGACTAGCAAGCTATCACTTCCACCTCCCGGTTCACCACCAACGAGCAGCCAAGACTGGCCAATCACCAAAATCCCAGCCCCAATAAATGCACAGCTAGTATTTAGTCGACTTTACTTCTCAACTAATTCGAACAGTAGTACATTTCAGTATGCATGACTTTGATTCCATCATGCCGAATGACTTTCACGCCTGCGTCCCGGACAAGTGGTTTGATGGAAGACATGACGAGATCCCAACAAGTGTGCACATCACAAGAACAATCAAAAGCTGTGTTGAGTTGATTGGAACAAAATGCATTGACAAATTCATGGGTATATCTCTATCTAACATATCAGTAGTCTATAGGAAATCATTACTCCAGTTGCACATCTATATCTCCAGCCCACCAGCAAACGGATCTCTCGCATCACTCCGCATCTTCGCAACCTCTTCATGCTCCCTCCTCAACGCCCTCCAATCAAACTTCTCAAACGCAAAACTCCACGTCTTCTCTGCCACACTCAACATCCACTTGCTCATCGGACCAACATCGTCACCGTGGAAGCTCTTCCTTCCCACATGTTGGACCAGACTGGGTGTGACTGCATATCTCAGCTCGTTGCGTTCGTTGGCAAAGTCCTCTGTTATGACGTCCATGTATCCTAGATGGCGTTCTTTGAAGTACTCGACGAGTTCGCCGGCTTTGACGTTGGGGAAGACGAAGGCTTGACTGCAGCAAGCGAAGCGCGGCATCTCGTGGACGCCGACGGCCATGGGCTGGACGGTGATGCGGCCGAGGCCGAAGTATATGAGGATGAGAAGGGCGAGTGTGGTGTACATGGCGAAGAAAGTGCGGCGGGTCATGAGGGCGAGGGTGAGTTTAGTGGTGGGTTGTGCGAAGCGGAGGAAGAGGATGACGACCGTGGGTACGAGGGCCACGTAGACTGAGTTCTTCAAGTACGTCTTCC